ACCGCTGAACATGCCTTCGCCAAAACTAATCAGCACATCTCCCTATCAATAGGAAGCGAATGTTTTTTGAACCATCCAAATCGGTTGATCCGTGCGCCCGAAAACGTGGACGAAAAATTTTATCCATACATACATACACACACACACATCCATTTTGTCTGAGGTATGCCAAAATGTTCAGAAACCTTCAAAACGTCGAGAAATGGGAGAAATTTCAATTTCGATTTTTGGACGATTACAATAACTTACCCTACGGGAAGTTAAAAATATACCTGACTTTGCTAAAAATTAATCACACTTCTCCCCATAATTACGAACTGAATGTTTTTTGGATCCATACTCTTCTTTTATCTATGTTTGGATCATTCAAATCGGATGCTCCGTTCTATGTAACTACAATATAATACTATATTATTCATGCAAACTGACATACCTTTAAATGTAACTGCAATCTAAGGCTCCTGAGGCTACATGATTTCAATCCTTATAAACTCAAATTTAACAAGAACCCCGGTTATCTAATTTTAGCACCATTCACAGTAAAATATCAAAATATGTTAATAAAACATGAAAAATATATACCATAATAGTTATATGAAGACGCCATTGTCAACATGTCACAATTGTCAACTATTAAACTATCAGGGAAACAGCCACATTTGAACAACTTAATGCCGATTAAAAAAAGCAGGGGCGAATTCTGACACAATGATAAAAAAAATACTGATATGATTTAAAATATTTTATTGAAAAAATAAAGAAAATTAAAAAGGATTCAATAGCTTAGATAATCTAAACATAAAACTAGCGGTGCATGGCAACGTGCCTTAAGGCAAATTGCTGGAACTTTCCGTATCATAATTTAAATTTTTTAGAAGTTTTACAATATTTTGAAAACTTTGAAAAAACTTGATTTTTCAGAATTTTAAAATTTTTGAAAATGCTAGATTTTAAAAAAAAAAATTGATTGGAAAGTCAATGGAATAGCATGTTTTTAAGTCATTAAAATCGGTTGATTTTGAGTTTGCTGAAAAATTGTATCCGCACACACATACGAACATACACGCACGCACACACAAATAAATACACACTCACACACACACGTTCTATAAAAGAGAAAGAGCCAATGGGACTTCGCTCATTTAAAAGATAAGTATAATTTCAGTGCAAGAATGATAACATTCTAGATCCTCCCGCCACAAAGTAATGCTTCGCGGCGGGCCAGTGGCAAGAGGAAAGCGGAGGTTTTTGGTCGGTCCAGACAAAAGACCAGACTGGGGTATGCCAAAATGTTCAGAAGTCTTTGAAACAAAGATATATAAAAGAATATTTTTAATTTTTTTTTTTGTTGTTATTACAACTTATTCCAAGGAGAGTTAACAATTCTCTAATAACTCGTCTTAACTCATATTGTAAGATAAACAATAAATTGAACTCGTAATCAAAAAAGAGTGTTAAGCTTTTAAACAACTGTATTTTTCATATAACAACAAAATATATACAGCAAATCAAACCCAAAAACAATTATAAAACAATATTAATTCTGATCGTTTCAGGCTTTAATATATCTATAAATATATGTAAATTAAATACTCAGGAATGGTAACAAAATTTTTGGAATGACAGATAATAATAACAATAATATATTACTTCACCAAACTTAATAAAACCTTATGTTCACTAAATAATATTTTAATCCCAACTCTCATAAAACTACAGTTCATTATAATAATATCTGTTAACAAATCTATTACCGTATTTAACTGTAACCACAAATTATAACGTAATTAAGTGAATCTAACTTATTCTATAAAACAAATAAAATATAACACTCGACACCCTCCACTTATGAAATCACAAAATTAACAACTGTGTAGAAATAGTTAATACTTAAACTAATATATTTTATAATTAAGTCTTTAGAATTTTTTACTCTTCATCATGGTTTTGCTAAATTTAATCACTATTCTTGATATAAAAAATCACTTCAACATTTATTATCTATGGTATAAAACTTTTACTATGCAGTATCATTATTGTACAATTTTACTATTTACACATTATTTTACAATTCTGGAAGACTTTTTATAATTAACTTTGATTCAATGCTAGTGATTACCAATATAACTATCCTTTCAACAACTAAATCATTAAAGCATGCTATCAAAATTTGAGGCAAGTCGATAACATGTAAATATATTACTTGAGTGATACTTAAACAAACATCAAATTTGACTAAAGTATCAATATTAGTTTAATTCTTATTTTAACCCATATTAGCCAGTACTTTTCTATATCTTTGTTAAAGTTGTATGTGACTGCATTTCAAAACTAGATAGTATATTTGATATATTATTCAATATATTACAAATTATACAAGTAAAAACTTCTATGCAAATTATCACAAAAACAATGTATCTTTGCATTTGACACATCATCGAGAATATTTTTAATTTTTTATTGTGACTCGTGAGTTAAGAAAATAGTTGCAGGTTCTATAGAAAGTAGTTGCAGGTTTTGTAGAAATGTTCAAAATAAATATTGTCAATATGACAAAAAAATTGTTAGTCAATCACCAGTTTTTAATTGCATTTGTCATCTTAAGCAATATTCTAAAACTATTTATTAATAAGCACATTTTACAAATACCTCGCTCATATTAATTGAAATGTTGAAAAAAACATAAAAGTTATGCAATTTAGCAAAAACAAAGATCATAAATATATTTCACATTCAATATCAATTTAAAAGTAGATCAAACGGCTATAGAGCATTTTATTGTTAGGAACACTAATAAATTATTTTGATCCAGTTTGCTTAATACTTTAATCACATACTTTTAGATTTAATATTTTTATAAAAGGTCAATGTATCATGCCGATTATTAACAACACGTTCTGCTATTGGTAATGATCATTATTATAATTTTGTCTAAATTAGTCAAACATCAAAAATTTGTCTAAATTAGTTCATTGAAAACAAACTAATGGTTTAAATATAATAGATATAGTAAATAAATTCATATACATCAGCTATAGATATTGGTTATACTTTTTGACTTCATGATTAAAATTTACAACATTGCACTTAGTTACTTATTTTCTTTATTGCACATTCAGTATTTAATAAATTGACCTTTCGAATAAAAAATATCCGTTAAGCAAGATTTATGAAGATTAATATTACATCAGTTTATTAAAGCACTTAAATATTGAGTAATTTATTTCTAGTAATTCTTCTAATAACAGTAAAAAGGTTTTGACAAAAAATATTTTTTCTATGAAAATGCACTATACGTATTTTTCGATTTTGAAATAATATTGTGGAGCAAAGCTGAATGTAATCTGAAATATATAGTTTCTATTATTACTATTATCATAACACAAACCTTTTTTGAACTACAAACTAAAATATTTTATAGATAACATTTTATAAATTAAGATTTCAAATATAAGAAATCTATGACCAATGTATTAAATGTTATGAAACCTCTCATGCAATTTGCATTTGATAATATTTAGGCCTACAATAATAAGGCATTTTTATAATACTTAGATGATATAATGACAATATAATTTCAAGATGATTGTCGTCATCAACATAAACAAATATATATATATATATATATATATATATATATATATATATATATATATATATATATATATATATATATGTGTGTGTGAGGGACTAGAATGCTGTTGATATGCCACAAGAGACATTCAGTAACCTGGGCTGTAAGAATATAGTATACTATTAGGTACAAAAAAAAATGTTTGAACTATTTTGAATTAGTTCTGGTCAAAAAATTAACAGAAATATAGCACAGAAGCCCACATTAAAAATTCTACAGGTGCTATTGTCCGATCACATCAAGGAGATTTATATTCCATATATATTTCTACTTGGTGATTTTGAGTACAGAAATTATTGTACTATAATTATTGTAATGAAGAAGTAGCAATGACCAAAACTTTTCATAAAACATCAATTAAATGAATAAAAAGATAAAACACAATATCATCAAATATTCTTAATAATATGGTGTCATATGCATACTTAATAATGAAAACTTTATTCAAGTATTATAAATTTCTTCCAAACTCTCCTCCAAAATCGTACTAAAACACAAACTGCATTCTAATCCAACATACAATCACATATATATATACATATTGTTTTTGCTAATATTATAATAAACGAGTAACATTAACTTTTCAATCTATTATAATATACAATTATAACTAAAATTACATTATGTATTGATAGTGAAATTTAACAAGAAAATATCAAAGTTTAAAATTTGTCAACAATTTGATATTTTGTTATTCAAACTTTCATCAAAATTTGTAGAAAGCTATTTTCCTAGTGAACATACCTGTAATGCTGATATTTTAAACAGCTATTTTAAATACAAATAACTTGTTGCTGTAAATGATATATGCAAAATTTTTCTTGTAAATTGATATACATCAATCGAGGTTGTTATGAAAACAAATCGCATTTTATATTTAAATTTGCATAATACAATAAAGAAACATTCAGCCTCACTTATTGCATACAGGATTCTAAAAAGTAATTATCAGTAAATAATATTCAACAAGGTTTTGAATGCAATTTCTTATTAATAATATTATGATTGGTACCATAATATTCCATGCAAAAATTCCAGTTATTCAAAACAGGTGATGTTTACAATAACGTGAAGAAAAATTTAACTTAAATTTTTATTATTAATAAATGTTCTAATATTGAGCACTAGGATGTGAGCACTGATACACAGCTTTTAGTAATTATTCTAACATAATCGAATAATTCATATAAAAAACATTTAACACTTAAGATTTAGTTGTAATATATATATATATATATATATATATACATACATATATTGTTTAAATTTTATTTGCAATATATTTATTAAATATTGCATATACATATATTTCAGTGCAGCAAATGTTAAGGCACTTATGAAAAGACACTATTCAAAATCTGGTTTATAATTGGCAGTTATTGACAGCCATTTGATTATTACAAAATACATATAAAACTAAAGTGTTTGTTCAATGAATTATTAAATTGAACTCTTCATACAAATGTGATGTAAAATTGCAAACATCAATCTTGATAAATTGTACAATCAATTTTGCACAACTCAATTGCTTTTGTACTACTGATAATTTTCGCCTATTACCAGTAAAAGAAACAATCAAAAAGTTGAATCAGTTTCTAAAGAAGGTTCTTGTTTGAAATTCATTTTATATGCTACATCATCCAAATTGTGCAAATGATTATTATTTGATTGTAATTCCTGCATACTGCCACTTCGGACACTTGGTATATCGCAAATTATTTGAGCAGGATGAATTGGGGCCAGATCTGGGCTGGATATCTGATGATCTGATACTGTTGGGCTATGGCTGCCCGATGGACTGCCTGGAGAATTAGTGCTGGGACTTTGGTAGTCGTTTACCATAGGAACTGGCGATACATTTGATGTGTTTGAATCAGGAGTAGCTCCTTGAACAAATTAAAATAAGCCTTTCAATTTCCTCAACATATAAATTTGTTAGCATGATAAAAAAAACAAACTAAATAGCAGTGTCGTCCAAATGGAGCTCATGACGAGTATATTCGTCAATCAAAGAGTGAACAGCGCTGGCAAAGAATTGAATGAAGAAGTTGGGTTTGGTTCACAAAGTAGAAAGATGTTTTTACTATATTTCATTTATTTGTTACCATTAGCATTTATAACATAAATATTAAACTAAAAACGAGTTAAACTTAATATAATATCATACATGCAAATGTAGTTACTTACATATATATACTTACATATATATTATAGTTTATTTGATGAAAAGCAAAACTATTTTAAATAATCAGTAAAATGTTATTTAAATAGCTGAATCTTAATTCTTAATTGATTAGAATATATTATTTCAACATGTTGGAAAGATCATGCAACTTGCTTCAAGTTAAAAAGCCACTAGCAACTATTTATTTTATAATTTATATTATTTATTATATTTATATTTATACAGTCATAGCCACAAAAATAGCAAATGGTCACACCGTTTTATACGCATGATGAATATACTGGCCAATATATGCCAATATATAAAATTCTGCCACTTCTACATGACAAGTTTGTTCATCAATCACAGTTCATCAGAACATATTCTCAAATTTCAGCATATTTGGAATATTTTGAGACTATGCCGGTATCAAATAGTAGTTGTAAATAGCTTAAAAAATCGACTTGATAGTTAGGAATTGAGATTTAGCTATTCAGAAGAAAAATTTTAACCGTTCATTTCAAAACTTGTCGATGATATTTTCAAATGGACTCATAATATCTATAATAATATTAATTTAATTTAATTTATTTAATACATTTCATTCTAAAAATGTATTTTATATTATGTAAGAGTGCACGTCAACAGTGATCAGTACAAACACAGAAGTAGATATATATGTTTGTGCGATGCATGTTCTAAGAAAGCGTAATATATGTTTAAATTAATCAAGAAAGTAAAATTTTGTAATAAAATTTTCAATTTTGTAAAATAAACCCATCTTTTTCATCCGATATTTTACCAGCGCAACATACTGTGTTGTTGACAAATATACTCGTCATGACTAGATACTTACGACACAAAACAGTGCGCCCTATGTAATGGGCGCACCACAGTTAACTGGTGCGCCCAGTACTTGAAACCAACATAAATTTCCATAATTTAATTCTTTTCTTGAATCACCCAAGTTCTTAACTTAAGTATTCATAATTAAACTAAATATAAAAAATCTAATAAGCCATGCAAAGATACTCACCACCAAGTAACATTTCTTGCAATAAGCTGTCTATGTGGGCAACTCCAAAAAGTTTGGCAAATTGAATTTGTTCAATCATCTGCCATGTGATTGACTGAAGTGCTGGTAGCGTTAACAATATTTCACCAAATCGTCCTCTAGAATCGTACTGTCGATCACTAATATAGTCCTCTAGGTTAATTTGAATTTGGTATCTAAGAGCTTTTATGCGATTGGGTTCGCTAAGTCCTTTTGCATCTGTAACATAAAAGAAAATGTAACAAAAAATCTATTGAATTATCTCCCTAGTTTATATTCTTTTCAACTTTCCGTAGGGTACGTTATTGTAATCGTCCAAAAATCGAAATTGAATTTTTTTGCATATATTCGCGTTTTGAAGGTTTCTGAACATTTTGGCATACCTTAGAAAAAATAAATATGTGTGTGCAGTGGCGGCGCTAGACCATTCGTGGGCGTCGGCGAAATTCGTTTGCGAGGCCCTTCTTTTTTTGCCAGTTGCAAGTTGACTAGTGGTACATGGCATCGTGCCTAAAGGCAAATTGCTGAAACTTGTCGTGCCGTAATTTAAATTTTTGAAAAGCTTTAAAAAAATTTGAAAAGTGAAAGAAATTGACTTTTTTTAATTTGAAATATTTTGTTGAAAATTTCGAACTTTTTTTCAAAGCAATCACGTTGCGTTAGCTGCTTAGAGACGAAATATCGAAGCGCGTAAACACCGCGTTGCAGTCTAACTTAACTCACTATTAATTAAAATCTTTATAAAATATCTGATAATTTGATGTGCATATGCCAAATGGCATTTGTTGTGCTTTATTTACTGGACTTCCAAAACCGCTAGACCTGCCTTCCTAAAAATGTAATTAGTTTAGCACTTTTTGCCCCGTATCTTCAAAACGGCTTCTCCTGCCTTTGCCAAAAACTAATCAGCACGTCTTCTTACCTTCAATACATGTCAAATGTTTTCTGAATTTTTCAAATTGGTTGATCCATTTTCGCGAAATCGTCGACAAAAATTTGCCAAAATGTTCAGAAATCTTTGAAGATATATAAAAATTTCTGTTTTAGATTTTTTTGCGATTACTATAACTGTATATGAGATTTATTTTTAGTCAGATAAATACACCAATTGAAATAGACAAAAATTACACAAGTTAAAATAAACAAACTCTTCGGCAAAAATGGTTCTCCAGCTATTAGAAAAGCACTGAAATTAAATAATTATCGCGAAAAAGTTTCCTTTTGCCCAACCATTTGAGTAGCAAATTTTATGTTTTTTCGATCATTATGAATAAAAAATGGTTGGAAATCACCGACTTAATAACTAATTAGACAAAATTTTGCAATCTGCAAGTGATTAATTAGATTTAAAAAAATCTATGTTCATACTAATTTGAGTACATCACATAGTAGGTACACATGGTCTAAAAGCTCGTCCCATTATTCTAAAATTTGATGAGTTTTTATAATTAATCATTTATCGTAGTTCCATAAAATTTATGTTAAATGAGACTAACAAGTTTTTTTTGAAAAAAGATTTTTACAATAAATTACAAAGAAACTGTGCGATCGATCTTGACGAAAAACAATTCAGCACGATCGCCAACTGAAAACTTTCGATGAGTTTTTGAATTTTTAAAATTGGTTCAGAAATGTCAAAATGTCCTTTTTTAAGACGCTTTAATCGGAAGACTTTAAGACATCAGAGCGGATCAACCGATTTAAAGGATATAAAAAACATTCGATTCGTGTTGATAAATTGTCAAAGGCAGGTTCAACGGTTTCGGAGATACAAAAAAAGTTTAAAAGGTTATCAATTTTATTTGAAAGAACTGATCATCCCAACGAATGTTGAAACGAATGTTTGAAAAAATATATTGCTTGTGTTGACGGTGTGAAACAATGATTAGTTTCAAATCAACAGTTTTTGTTATTATCTCATTGTTATTTCTCATTGATCAATTTTTATTGATCATTGATTACTTTTATTCCTCGAATATTTAATTACTCTTTCGATACGTTAAGATTCCCACTCGTATGTATTTCCAAAAAGAACGATGATTTACATTTTGCTCACATAAGAAATACACACATATAAACAACCAGAGAATTAGCTTGCGCGAAGTTGTTTAGATTTAATAATCTATACTGTTGACAGACGATATTAGATAATGTCCATAAAAGATAAAAGAGTAAAATGATAGTGCCTGTAAACCACTAATCACCTTCTTTACTCGCACATCCGTATGAATTTTAACTAAATTTTAAATAATTAAAATTTTTCGGGGCCTCTTGCGAGGCCCCCCCAGGCGCGAGGCCGTCGGCGGCCGCCGACATCGCCGACGCCTAGCGCCGCTACTGTGTGTGTGTATGTATGGATATAATTTTTCGTTCACGTTGTCAAGCTCACGGATCAACCGATCCGAATGGTTAAAAAAACATTCGATTCCTATTGATAAGGAGATGTGCTGATTAGTTTTTGACAAAAATCGGTCCAGCCGTTTTTGAGTTACAGAGCAAAGAGTGCAGAAAATAGAAATCGAGTTTTTGAGAGAACGGACCATCCGATTTGAATGATTCAATACGTTCAATTCGTAATAATGGGGACAAGTGGTAATTAGTTTTTAGCAAAGGCAGGTCCAGCCGTTTCGGAGATACGGAGTGTGCAAAAAGTTTTTGGGAGAAATAAGCATCAGATTTGAAGGATTCAAAAAACTTTCTGCTTGTGTTGACGAAACGATTGTTTTTAGGAAAAGAGATTTATTTTATTTATTTTTTTTTTAATTTTCAAAAAGATTTTTTTTTGAATATCGAAAATAATTCGGACTTTCAAAATTTTATTTCGGTGCGGGAAGATCAATTTGCAATTTGCTTCAAGGCATGATGCCATACACCACTAGTTGACCTTTAAATGAGAAACGATTTAGACTAAAATGATATGTCTATCAAAATTTTATATAGATTGTGAGTTGCTTGGTGTTCAAAACACTTGAAGATAAAACTGGGTCGTTCTAAATCATCCGTAGAGTAGAGTGGGGCCCAAATATCAAATACGACTTTTAGTAATTATACTGCAAACTGCAAATAGGTAGGTATTTTGTTACAACAAGACTTATTTTTTATTGAAATACAATTATTGCAAATAAGTTAAATACAAAAGGTGTGAGCGTGTTTCTATACAGAATCAGTCTCACCCTGGTATTTAAATGATTTTGATGCCATTTTATAAGTATTTTCGAAAAAATACTATATACTCATCATTCCCTATCTCATCATTTGGCCGAGATATCAGTGAAAATATGTGAAAGTGGCCCCTTCTTTCAAACGCACTTTTTGTCGGAAATATAAAAGATTGAAAAATGTTAACCTCATTCTATATACACTGATCTTGTCTATGTTGTTCATAAGAAATAATGTGAAAGAATTATTTGTTAGTGCATGAGAAGGTAAAAATAATTTTTCATTTTCCATTTCCTACCAGTGCGGCTCTTTGAACTATTTTTGAATTAAAATCACTCGAAAGCCTGTACATTTTTCTTCTGTTATTCAAAAATTCATTTAATTGTAGGTGGAACTTCGTGGTGAAAAGTTGAAAAAACTTAAGCTAGTACATGCGCTGTCGGTACAAGAACACTCATATAAGTTCGTTTTGCAAGAGACCTATAAAATGGCATCAAAATCATTTCAATACCAGGGTAGAGCTAATTCTGTATGGAAACACATACCCTATTTGTTCAAAATACATATTTCATGAACACTTTTTTTTACAAAGATCACAACACCGTACTTTACCCGCGGATCTTTAATACCCGATTTACCCTATATCAACTCGTTCCAATTTGAAACCACAGGTTTGTTATAAACTGTTTTAAATTCTTTCAAAATTAATGAGATTTCGAAGCTATTTGTGTATCTATAAAATTCAAAATAGCTAATTCACATAAATGAGCTTTAAGTGAAACGATTAGAAATTAGTGTGACTTGTTTCTATTCAAACCAAATTTAACTGATTCTAGTCAATATCATAAACTAACTTATAGATTGAATTACTAAATAATTTAAAACCAATTAAACCTTGCAGATTTTATGGATTTATTCACTTACTTGGGTCAAAAAATACTATGGCTTTAAGACAAGCGAATTCTGTGTCATCTATCTGCACCTCCGTCATTGGTTTGACTAATTCGTCCATGATCCTGCACCCCACGCGGCTTATGTCCAAGTCTGGGGATATGCGTGAATCTGTCAACATGATGACTAAATAGTTTTTACCACAACCACATTCAAAATTTGAAAGGTTAAATAAAAAGGGTGTTAAAAATTATTTCTACTATATCATATTTATTATACATCTGTACCTCGCTTTGCGTTTTTTTTCGAAGTAGCGCCGCCGCTTAATTAGTACTAATTTTCACTGTACGTTGTTACAATTTCGAACTTTTAAATTTTTTTTGAAATTAGAGAATACTGACATTAATAAATTAATTGCTAATCTAGCAGAACCAAGATTTTTGTAACAAAGATCTACTACAGTAACTAAAATTTCAATTTACTAATACAAAACGTTACAGTGAGCGTTTCTGAAGAACAAAATTTAACCTTCGCCTTTAACGTGGAAGAAGCCAACTTACCTTACGACGACAGTCACTATAGACTGATTTCTGGATAATTTTTTTATGTTTTCCAAAAAATAACCGTTTTTTTCAATTTTGTTTTCAATAAACTAAATTACCTTTAGTTTAATTTTATATAGGATAGAACGGAGCAAAGGCCCAGCTTGACTTTTAGTAATAAACTAAATGAACTACATGACAACACATAACATGCATCAAAGAAACAACTATCGAACTATATTCAGTAAATTTCCCAGTTAACTCCTAATTATAAAAATATGCATTTTTACTGTTTTGCTAAAATTTGTCATCTGTTCCTTTTTATTCCATAGGCTGAGTCAAAAGGGACAGCCAGGGCCAATAGATCCGATAGATCTTAAATGGATTTTACGAAATAATACCTGCATTATTCAACCAATGCGAAATATAAATTTTATAGGGATATTTTTTACAAAGATAACACTGTGTATCAGAATCCATCAGAAGAGTTGGAATAACTATTTATTTAATTTATATCTTGTACAATTGTTTCTGTTAACTTTATTTATTTTTTATTTAGTATCTTATTGTTTTTTATTTTATTATTTTTAATAATTTTATTTACCAACGTAAAGGTTTATTTGTTTTTTTTTACTCCACCTTCATGTAAGATTTTATAGAGGTTATATAAAAAACGGTTGAATCTAACAGAAAAATAGCAATAAATTTTACAAAACAATTAAATAACGTTCACCTAAAAATTATATTCAGATATCATAAATACAAGAGCTCAAAATTAAAAAAAAACTACCAATGGAAAAAAACTTTTGGTCGGAACATTGATGTTGCAAAAACTAAGGTGATAACACTAAAAACTTCTATGCTTTGTTTGTTTTTTAGATAACGATGATGAGCCTTTTTCCTAAGGTGATAACACTAAAAACTTCTATGCTTTGTTTGTTTTTTAGATAACGATGATGAGCCTTTTTCCACGCGGGCCCTTTAAGCCCCACTTCACCCTATATATATAGTTATATGTACCTAATAAAAAGAATATATTAATTTTATGTTTTAAATATATACTTTGTTCAATTTCTATTCAAGTAATATTTTCGTAACCTTTCTTGAACTTCACATGATTTTCTAGAAAAAATCTTAATTCATTTTATGCCGTTCTTCTGGGTCGTATTTTTTAGAACAACGCAAAGTGAGGTATAGAAGTAATTCAGTATTCCTTCATAAGATGACAAAAATGCACTCACCCTGACAATGCTTAGTTATTATACAATTGTTTCCTAATAAAAGGATGTCTTTTAAATGCATCGATCTTCTGGCTAAGCCCAGTAATAAATGTTCACCTGCATGGGCACGCAATAACGCTACCTGTGGGAGATTGATATTAAATCAGTCAGTTAAATTTCTTAAAAATAACATTGTAACAAAATTTTGAATCGGTTGAAACAGAAAAATATTACGTAAAGTAGAAGTACCATATTTATTTCATATTCAGAATCTCTGAACAAAATGCTGACAAGGAGAACCCGCCCGTAGCTCGTCTCGGATTTTGATGAAACTTGGCATAATGGTAGATTTTATGTCCAAACTGACCGTGGCAAAATATTAGAGGCATATGAAAAGCGGTTTAATTATAAAATTTAATTAAAGTTTGCATTTTAGCAGTGCATTACAAATGTAAAATTTAAATTAGTTTTAATATCATTTACTTATGCAGTTATAAATATGAAATGAAAAAAAAAGAGGTTCACACGCGATTGTAGTAAAACTTATTTGCTACTGTACAAGATGGCATTTAAGTAAAAATAAATACATCATATAACAATTTTGTACAATGTTTATTAGTAATATGGTGACACTCGTGTTGCACATATTTATTAGTGTCAACCATTATACACATTTATATAATGATAAATTATAAATTATATATTTATAATAGCATTAAAATATGTATAATAATTGAAAACAATAATGTAATTAAAGTCATACTTCAGATCGGTTTGTCTTTGTAATTAGCATTTAGAAATGAACCTTCATTAAGGAAATGAAGTAATTGCTGATTAATAACTTCTATAATATTCGTTCACACAGTGGATTATGTTAAACAACGCCTAATCAAATATTGTTTGAAGAACTTCATGTAATTAAAATTAACACACATTCATTGACTGATGGTTATATTTTTTACTTTTTCGCTGGCGATATAATCTCATTCTTTGAACAGCTGTAATATCTGTTTTGCCAAAAAAATATGACCAATTTCAATAACTTCAAAGATTTATAGAAACTATGAATAACATAGAAATTATTTCAATAAACTTATGTTACATACACGGCGCAAATGCTACATTTGTTTTATTATTTTCATTATAATTATTTACGGGAGACAAGGTAAAATATTCTTCTGATTCAGGCATTTTTCATTAAATCTAGATTTGTACTAGGATGTAACTTTAAAATGTTTATTCATCTATGCCGTTGATGCCGGTACGCATAAAACGACAGATCTCTATTCACATACGCGACGACTAATCACAATCAACCCGTATAGAAATCATATCATCGAGAGCGAATGACGAATCATTAGCACTCCACTCTTATCTTATCTGCCGTAACGCACTTCCGTTGCATTTGTGCCGATTTACACCCTAGTCGCGCCTAAAGAAGTTTTACTTCAATAATAAAAAATATAAAAAGCTTGAGTGGAATTCGAACTCTCGACCATAGAAGCAAAAATTACCAGCGTTACTATTCGGGCAATCTCCCGCTGATAAGAAGAAACGCTCCATGCTATGTGTATAGTGCGCTGCTAAAATGCAAAATAATTAAATTTTATAAAAAACGCTTTTCATAGGACTCTAATATTTTAGCACGGTTAGTTTGGGCATAAAATCTACCAATATATCATCAAAATCCAAGACGAGATACGCGCGGATTCTACTGGTGAGGATGAGAGCGCCATAATAAAAAAAAATATTTTACGGAACATTTAAATTTTATATATAAATATATTACTTAATTGAACTGGTTAAATGACCGTTTTCATGTGACTATACATTATTGAAACTAAGATGATTGGTAGCATATTCATTTTACAGAGCGTTGGTAATAAATTCATTTTTCATTTATAATGATTTTCAGATTGATTCGAAATTCAACACAATCGATGTCAAAATGATTCAAAATTCTGCCACAACAATCACCTTGTAGATTTAATACCTGATCATCAAGTTGCAGTTCAGTGAACGCCGGAATGTATTTCGCCCATTCCACCAAAATAAGAAGTTGCTGCTTCATAGAATCACATACATCGTTTATATTTGCTAGTTGCTTATTTGATAAATCGTAATCGTTAACTGCTGTACTTCCATTCTGAAATAAAAATATTACATTTTCATATCCATAGAATAACCACCAAAATCCAATTGAACAAGATCACAAAAGCTTCAAATAAAATGATTGTAAACTATGTATACTATACATACATTTACATTGTATAGGGTATGGTCCTATACTGGGGTCACAAGTCACAGGCTAGAATTTAGTTTTACCATTGTTTATTCACATTTGGTTCAATTTTTATCACAAATACAAATTTTATGGATCAAGTATATAAATTCAAATGATTTAGCTGGACTTGAAACATATAATTGCGAATCAAACTCATCACTAATGGAGTCAATGAAAATAATACTAGTTGAACAATATTAAGCATATGGATAATTCTTGTACCTATCAAAATGATTTTAAATTGAATATTGACTTCGCATATGAATAGATGTAAAAATAAGCTAAACCTTTCTATTATCACACGAACACTTCGGAATATTTATCCCAGTAGATATCAAGCTTTTTTAAATTTGCAAAAGCTGACACACCACACAAAACATAAGCAAATGCTTGTCATTAATGCAGAGAGAAATTTAGATCAAAATATGAAAATGCTTAAAGTTTATACTAATGTTTAAACTATATTCTCATCACTACTGCCATGGTTGAATATTTGCTCAAAATAGAATTACAACATAGTAACATCGCAGACATTTGCAAATTAGAACCCTAAAACATGTTCGTAAGGTGCATTAAATGAAAAAAATGTCTAATTATTTACTTTGGTACATTTTGATTTAAAATTCCAATCATACCTAATGTCATGTCATTTGGTCTTCTAGCATAATAAAAAAAAGATGAGTTAATTTTTGTATAGTAGTAGATAGTATCTACTAGATACTACATTTGATACTGAAAATCTATCATATGTAGTCAAGCGAATAAATAAATTTACTTGGTGATGATTTCTATAGGCAACATTTTGCACAGGCCCTTTATTATTATTAATTGAACACCACAAATCTTCCAGCTTTTAAGCAAACAAAAAGAACTACGTGGAATTCTTCCGTAGGGGTAAAAAAAAAATTTTGGTAAACATCATGAAAAATGTGGCGATAAAAGACGCCACACAGCATTCTCTCTAATTTTTCTAATTTACAATAACACCTCCAATAAAGCGGTCCTTTTAATAGCGGTTTCCATACCACGCGGAACTGAAAATGCGACAACACGGTGCTCCTATAACACGGTTTTAGTTCTACAGCGCAACCTATGAATGACTCTAGGAACTAGATAATTAAAAATCTATATGATATCGGTTTTATTAGAGTCAATTCTCTTTCACAGAACATTAGTCTTTTTGTGTTTATTTTTTAATCATATCTTATATATACAATTCTTCTGTAATGATGTATGTAAATATACACCTCCTAAACCAAGGGCGAGCAACCTTTTTAACCCACGGGCCAATTTGGTATTCAAAATTTTATGGCGGGCCGCACGTAATTTATATATATATACTAGCTGACCCGGCGAACGTTTAGCCACAGGAAATATTTTTAGAAAAGCATTAGTATTAGAAATGACTAACAAATTTTGAATGTATAAATATGAGATATATGAATGGAAGGGGCAGCTAACACAAATTACATTGATAATTTATCCATTACAACGCCAAAATACTAACATACATGTTTGAATTCGGGTATGCTTATGCATAGCGAAACGAGTGAGATTTCAATAACTCTGAAAGTTTTCTCTCAAAAACAGTTTTATCTTCAGATTTTAATTTTAAATTTCTAATTTTTTTGCTAGTATTGCTCTTTCTGCAAAACATTCAAAAGCTATGTACTTCTAATGCACATCGGGAAATATATGTACGGTAGGAAAGTATGTAGTACGCCTGCAAATCAGTTAGTTTTATCGAAAGTAACCATTTCGTTGCCAATATCTAAGAATTATTTTTAAAATATTGCAGCGAATAAAACGGATAAATTTAATCTTTTTTTATAAGCTCAGAAAAATCTTGACCAAATTTCTATTAAAAACGTTCACAAAAAGGCGATAATAGTTAATTGATTGATTACCGAGCTAAATAAAAAATAATTGGACTACTAAAATGATTATTATAAAATAATGAAAATTTGGAGTTGTATGTAGTTTTTCATTCCGCATTAAGAAAATTAAAATAAAGAAAATTAAAAAAAATATTACGTTCGTAAAACCTATGATAAAAATAAATTGCTTTTTCTTTTTAAATAAAACTGAAGCTTTTTTATAAACACAAAAGTCTGAACTAAAATTAAGTCAAAAGATTTGTTGAATGAGCTCGGAAATAATGTGATTGCAACAAAATTAAAAAATGGCACAAGAATCACATATAAAAACTGGTATTTTTTAGCATTTTTTCTGAATGAATGAATTATTATCCAGCGACTTTTCTTTTGTGGACCTGTGCAATTGTTTACACACGTATGTACTTCTAAAAATATAATTTATCATAATTTTATTTATTTTTTTTCAAAAGCGAAAATTTCTTAGGGCTGACATGAGATTTATAAAAAACTGAAAAAATACATTTTCAAAATCTAATTATTTTGCATGGTAAATGGCGAAGAAAACACTTGCATGAGAATAGCTGTTTTGTTAGCTTTGAACATTTGGAATCACAATTAAAATTTGTTCACATTTTCGTTTTCTGAAAATGAAATGTGATACACAAGATACTGCAAAAGATATTATTCTTTATTACCAAAACGACGAACTCCAATTGTTTTTTGCATATCCAAAAATGATGAGTTCTCAATGATAAGTTCTCAATTTTTCTTGCAATATTGTTAAACTATTATATAAATTAATATTTATTTTATCAGGAAATTGTATTTCGGCGAATAACAGTTTTTACCAGTATTTGACTGACAACAGAATTAGCCTTTACAGCCGTATTTGATAAAATATCTAGAGCTATATCTATGTACGAACCAAAATTATATCTCATCGACGGTTTCTCAAAACTTGCTATATCGATTCAAAAGCTTTAAAGCCTATTGATGAACACTATAAGAACTCGCAATATTTAGTTTCGTGCGGAGATTGGAATAGCCGTTTCTATATAACAGAAGTGCAAAATTCTTTGTCAACTTTTTTGCCAAATCTTTCGCCTTCATCTAGAAAAATAATCTGTAGTTGAGAAATGCTTGGCGGGCCGCAGAAAAACCTCTAGCGGGCCGCATGCGGCCCGCGGGCCGCGGGTTGCTCATCCTTGTCCTAAACGATTATTCGGATTTTGATCATTCTTTCTGAAGTTTGTTAAGGGAATTTTTTAAGATGTATGTGATTATAAAAATAGTAATATTGTAGAAATAAATAGAAAAAAATGCCAGAAATAACATCATTGTTTGACATTGAAAACATTTTGATACATGAGAACTGTCAACAATCGACAAAAATATCGATTCACTTGAAATTTGAATTTAGTTTAAGCGAGCCTAGACAATATTAGTATGTAATATCCATATTCATGATTATTAATAAGAATAATGTAATATCTACAATATTATTGCCGAAAACCAGCTGAGATGTGCCAGAAATTAAAACAATATAAAATACAACATATGTTTGGCAGATGAAATTATATAATTTAGTTTAATAAATACGTCCAAAATTGATATACATTTATTTTTTAAACTTATGCATGTTGTATTTTGCTTTACTTCACTAAATTATACAAAAAAATATTTATAATTGTTGAAAAAATGATTTTGAATATTGTTTCAGGTGTCAAAAATTCATTTGTTTGGCATTGGGTACGAAATATTTAGCAAGTTCATAATCTTAGATTAAACAGTGCCATATGAACTAGATTTTACAAATTAATTCACCTTAGATTTTAACTAAAGTAATAATGCTTATTAAATTATTAGTAAGAGAAATGTAATTTAGAAATTGTAATTGCTAAAAACCAACTAATATAGAGTACGCGATTATAAAAATTATAGACTATTATATATTATATGATTTATTGAAGCAATTATATGGTTGGAAATAACAAAGGTGAAATTGTTTTTTTACCGTAGATAATATATTTATTCTTTCTGAATTTCTTATATTGATAAAAAAACTGCAGTTTCCAATACGTATATAGCTTATGCTAAGACCATAAATGAAAGGGCAATAAATAGAATATTAAAAAGTATAGGATAGGATATTAAAAAATTTCAAACTTAAATTGTAGACGTGGGTTACAGGACAACGTCTGTCGGGTCATCTAGTCCTTTTACAAATTCTTCGATTCAGTAAAAAATAATTTAGATTTTTTTATCATATCTTTATACGAATTTTTCAATTAAATAAAACAATTTAAAATGTATGCTTTTTGTATTAATTAGTTTTCCATATAAAACGGTACAAATGATGTTATAATAGGTTATTCCTATTTTTTTACAGCGCGGTTCTTATACAACACTATATAGACGGTTTCATAGAGCGCGTGACGGTTTTTGTATTACGGGGTACGCACTCACCGCATTATAGGAGCTTTGAGTGTAGTAATATTTTAAATTAATGGTGAAAAGTTCCCTTGATGACCGCAAAAATATATAGCAATGCATCATTATTCCTAATTCTTGCAATATACACTATGGTTTGCAACCAGATATAAAGAAGGTGGATGCCCCATCCCAAAATAACTAAGAAAACTTCTGGCTGTTAACATTTAAAGGAGACTGAAAAGAATACACCTGCTACGTAAAAAAAAAATATATCAATTTTTATTCTTTTTACTTCTTTTTTATTGTAGGAAACCCTTCTTGTATTTCAAGCAGAAGTAACACTGGATACTTCCATTATTGTCATTTACGTATCATATGTCATTTAACTCATATAGTCTTTAGACTTACTAAATGTCTACTGAAGACAGTTGTAAATTACATGGTAAAAAAATATATAATTTATGCGAGTATTTCAAACTTTGTGATTTTAATCTGCGATACGTAGGCTATTATTCATAAACATGTATGATGGCAATAAACAAAGCAATAAGCACAACGTGACAAAAATACAAATCACCTCAAGAGCAGCCCCAACCTGTCGACTAAGCATCTCTGCGTTCAGCAGAGACATCACTGACAAACCATTTCCTTGGGATTGTTCTTCATAACTCGGCCGCCTGCAGCTAATCCTATCCCTTTCGTTCTGGACGGCTGCACAAAACCAGAAAAAATATATATAAATAAGTTTAATATAATAAATAGATTTATATATTAGTTTAAAATATATGAAACATGTCACTACGTTATAATCTCCATAAAAGAATCCAGATATTGGATGACAAACAGTGACTGCATTTTTAGGCTAACTAATATGAACAATTGCCAAAAGTTAAACTTTTAGGCTAATATGTAACTTTACAGTAATTTGTAAAACAATTGCCAAAAGTTAAACTGCTTTTTAACTTTCCGTAGGGCAAGTTATTGTAATCGTCTAAAAATCGAAATTAAAATTTTTTGAATATCTTTACGTTTAAGAGATTACTAAACATTTTGGCATTGAGAGAAGGAGCATCCGATTTGAATTATCCGCACGATGCCATACACCACTAGTTTATTATATCAAAATTTCTCAAATTACTTAGATATACCAGTTAATTAAATGTTTCTCATCATTTACTCAATGTCAACTAATTAAATAATCAACAATTTAGACCAGTTATTCCAAAAGTTATTTATATAGACTCCCAGGGGCCCATAACAAGGGTGGTGGTCCACGGGTGTGGATCACAATACAACATGATAACATCTATTTGCTTATACTATAATATCTATAATTGAAAGGCATATACACATTTTATAAGGCAAGGTAATGTAAAGTGAGGCATTATTATCAATCTCCTTAAAAATATGTAGACTGAACTTCACTAGCCGAGAAATGTAAGATTAAGCCTTACAAAATTGTCGCCAAAAGCTGATATTTAAACATTTACTCAACTCTTAAATTTAACAGTTAAAAATCTTGGCACGGAACCCAAAAAAATTATAACAAAATTAGTACTCATGTTAAAAATCTCTATAAAATATCTGACCATTTAGGTGCATATGTCTAAAGATCATTTTAGACCGCCAAATATCTCTTTTTTCTATATTTTCCTCTGTATCTCCAAAACCGCTGGACCTGCTTGCCAAAAATTTAACCAATTCTTTACTTTGTCAATATAAGTAAAATGATTTTTAAATAATTCAAATCGGATGCTCCGTTCTCTCAAGAACTGAATTACCGTTTTTGGCACATTTTGCTCCGTATCCCCGTAAAGGCTGGACCTGCCATTGCCAAAAATTAATCAGCACATCTTCCATCAATAGGAATAGAATGTTTTTTGAAACACTCAAATTGGTTGATCCGTGCGCCCGAAATCGTGGACGAAAAATTGTATCCAAACATACACACACACAACACAGATACATCTATTTTTCTAAGGTATGCCAAAATGTTTAGAAACCTTTGAAACGTAAAAATATACAAAAATTTTCATTTTCGATTTTTTTGCAATTACTATAACTACCCTACGGGAAGTTAATTAAGCAATCCATAAACATAGCATGTATTATTATTTTAATTGTTTAATTACGGTTCAATGATAATTAATGCCAGTTCAGTAATATTTAATGTGTATAGGATAACATAATAATTATAATTATTCATTTTGAGCTTAAGTAAATTTGTTACTTTCAAATATTGAAATTCGAATAATTAGTTGCTATTTTATTTTTTGGACACATCCCTGTTTGAACCAGAGACAAGTTCTCAGTGTAACCAAATTTGGAAAGTTTTGGAAACGTAAGTTTAAAGAAAATGTAACAAATCTACACAGAAATATGTAGTCACAAATGAAAAAAAGTACTTTGGAAAATTAGAGAGATCAAAACTGCTAAATTCTGAAAAGAGCGGATTGCATCCATGATCCAAGATAAGTACTACATCATATGACAACGAAGGAAAAACATGTGACAAAATTAGGACAAAGATGTAGGAATGACTAATATGAAATAGAGGATGTGAAACACAACAAGGGATAAGAAATGATGCCGTATACTTTTTAAGACCAATCAATTATTATTATCATTACTAAAGTCCATCAGGACACATGAGGGTGATGGTGAGGGATGGAAAATGGGATCTAAGGCAGCACAAAAAGTAAAGAATTTTTTGTGCAGCCTTAGATTCAAGCAGCCTCATTTTTGTGCAGCCTCAGATTTTTTATGCAAGCCTCAGAAAAAAATCTTTCTTGTACAGGTATGTAAGAATGAAGTTAGCTCATTCACCTAGATTAATCAAACCTAATTAAATGCATACTGGAAACATTTAGGGCGAAGAAAGTGATTCTTGATACACGAAATTAATTCTGAAAGGATAATTGGCTTTATCCGACAATGTCCTTTAAAACACTCTACATTTATTAAATTTACTCTTAAATATAATGAAATTTATCTACGTAATAGATTATATTTGTTTTTATCTATAGCCATCTCCTTTGCTCAAGTCTTCAAACATGAATTAGGTACAAAAAATGTTAAATTGAAATGACTATTTGGCAACTTATTTTTCTTATCTCTAAATATACATTTCTTAACAGTGAATAATTTGTTACATTTGCAAACGGGTAGTCATAACGTCTTAATAATAAACAATGTTCGATATAATTATGAATCATGCTGCAAAACAAGGATTGGAAATACGAAACTCTTATAATTATGGAACCGAATATCGAAGGTTAATGGGTATTGGTAATATTGAAAATATTTGTTTGATAATTTGCAAGTATATAAATATCATAAACAGTTGAACATATTTGAAACAAACACTGAAGAAATTTACCGCCTATGCACAATGTTTTGTTGATTAAATTAAACAAACAGAATAATATAATTTTTAATTATACAACGATCAAATGAAAAAGTACATTAAAGTAAGGTGTAAATAGTATAGGGGGAAGTCCCCTAACGCCGGACGGCACCAAGCACCAAACACTCTATTTAATACGTATTATTTAAGCGAGTATAAATCTTTTCATTTCAAAATACAAATGAAAGGGGCACTGGGAGCACACAGGTACAGGATCACGCGCCAAGCCTCGCCTGTAACGCACACGGCCACGGCGAGAGCAACCCTTTCTGTTTTAGGCGCAAAATCACGGCGTCGCCTAAATATCAATGGAAGTAATTCTAGCATATTTATGTATTTACATTTGACTGGTATGCAAAGATAAAAGTTGTACTTGATTGTTATCCGTAAAATGGTAGAATATCATTAGATCTTTTAATCAATTTTAGTATGTGCCATCAAATGAACGAAAATGTCGGTTATTTTGAAATGTCCGGTACTAGGTGCCACTGTTTAAAATCATATTTTTGATAGCAAAGTTTGATTGATAGTAATAATTATTTTTTAGCAAAGATTGCGGTTTTGTTAATTTAGTTTGATTTCTAACTTTGTTATCTAACATAAATCATAATTTAATTAACATTTCGTAAAATATTTTTTGATCTATTTATAAACCTTAGGTGTCTGTCACTTGGAGACTTCCCCCAACAGTTTTTATAGTATCTATTATTTAAAATTTTTGTTGTATAGAGGGAAGCAGGGCTCAAAAATCCGCGGGTAAAAAGGCCCACTACCAATATCTCACAAATAAGTAAACTTAGCAATTTTTTCACAATAGTATTTAAAAGTAGAGGACAAAAGACGTGTAATCAGCCATCGCAATAAATCAAGCAACGTCGCTATAAGCAAATAAACGGAAATTTTGAAAATCTATAACGAAAGTATTTTCTTTCGTTGTTAGTTTTTCTGGTTGGGTTAATATTTTACAAGTATACATTATACAATTTTTATATAACCTCCATAAAAGCTCACATGTGGTTGGAGCAGAAAGGACCAACTGTACCCATACCCCGGCGGGCGCAATAAGAAAATAGTAAATAGAAATGTAATTTTAAAAGCAATAAATTAAATAAATAGTTATTAACCCCGCAAGAATCTTCTTACATAATTCATTTATAAGATGACTGATTTTTTATAAAAATTTGTATTATAATGATTTTTTAAATATATTATATTTTTATTATCAGTATCTATTCTGTTTAGCTGTGATCGAGATGTATTTTTACATAGAAAAAAAAATTTAATCTATATTTTCAATAAAAAACGAATATCAACCTTCTGATGTCAGGGAGTACGTAACGCACCCATAACTTAATTTTTGCAAGATATTTTCAAATTCAAGGATATGTTAAAATTACATTGTAAAAACCAAACCAATTATATCACAAAAATTACACATATCAAACAAACAACTCTCTGACTATGTCCAGTAAAATTCCCAGTTAATTTATCACTGGGTAAATTGGGACGGCCAAGGGGCAAACAGATCCAAGGTAATATTTTAATTTTAAAGAAACTTTAAAAAAATTTTTTACAGCTACATTATTCAACTAATTCAAAATACAAATTTCATGGATGCATTTTTTTAAAGAGATAACAATGTAAATAACCTTGATCTGGCATTTCGTCAGAAATATTCATCAGCAGAGTTGAAATAACTATTTATTTAATTCATCTCTTATAAAATAGCTTTTTTAACTTAATTCATTTTTTATTCGACCTCTGTCAGGGTAAAGGTTCAGCTGGTCCTTTCTACCCCGCCCAGATGTAAGCTTTTATAGAGGTTATATAAAAAACGGATGAATCTAACTTATAATTAACAATACATCTTAAGAAACAATTGAATAACGTATACTTAAGAATTATATTACAGGCTCGTAAACTAAACAACAGTGCTCACTACCAAAAATCTAACAACGAAAGAAAATACTTTTGTTATGGATTTTCAAACATTGCCGTTTATCTCCTGATAGCAACGTCGTAAGGATCAAAGTGATGGCTATACATCTTTTTTCCTCTGCTTTCAAATATTCTTGTTAAAAAATTCTTAACTTTACTGGTTTTTGAGATATCGATGATAGATCTTTTCATCCGCGGACCTATAAGCCGCGCTCTACCCTATACAAAAATAAGATCTAATCTTTTTTATACTTTATTTATAAATTAATCTATAAATAGCGCGTCTACACAACTTTGCAATAAGATATCATGGTCGTTAGAAAACGTCATGAATTATTTAAATTTTAAACAACTTGCCAAATAACATGTTTATAACAAATAAAACATTTAAAAGTTACAACAGATCTAGTATATAAATAAATAAAACAAGTTGTTAATTCGCGATTAAATTTTCCGCACAAATCCGGATATCATACGAGAAACGTTAATACAAAAAAATGAATTAATTATAATCAATACAGAATGAATATTGGTTTACCTTCTTTTTTCATTCCAGCTTTAAAACACTTCCTCAAACGGCAGTACCGACACTGGTTCCGTTTATCTTTGTCTACGACACATGCTCGATTAAATCTGCGAATATAAAAATAAATTATTTATCAATCGTTCAACGTCAATGTTTTATTTTAAAGAGAATATCAGCAGTTTTATTATCGTATTTACATATTCTATAGGCATTAACATATTATACAAACGCATTTGCAATTAAACGCGTACAAGTAAAAAACAATGCGCTATTGTGTTTTTAAAATAAGATAAATATTAAAAAAAAACATAATAATGAATATTAAAATAAATCTGTAAAAGACAAATCCAAATCATTTTGGATGAGACTGGGTACGGTAATGATTTTAAGAAAGGTTCCAAAGGAAAAAAAGATAAAGTGTGTTTATTCGAACAAGTTTCCATTATTAATCTATAGACCGTATTACTTTTAAAAAGTCAAAAATAAGTTACTTTATTTAATATCTTTTTTAGTTAATAATATAGGTCAGTCAAAATGATTATTTGTTTTCAAAAGTGTGCGTTGGGTACGACTGTGACAAATTTTGCGGTACGGTTGTCACATGTATTTCTTGTTCTTTTCGTGTGAGGATTAAACAGATAAAGAAAAAACTAACCTAACTAAAACAAAATATGAAAGTAAAAGAGCAAGGAAAATTCAGTACAAGAAAAAAAAGATTCCACAAAGATTTCTTGTCAACTTTGTCTAAAACATATGTTTTGTTTTATATTGTTATATTATATTCATAAGCTTCATTCAAATGATTATGTTGTATTGTGTTATATATTTTTGATATAAAAAATTATTATAAACCATTTTGGTGTTTGGTTTTTAACCTATTTTTATGCCTGGCCAACTGTCCTAGGGGTGTGGACGGTTATGGAAAATATTTCAGCATTTCCACGTAGACAAATGTTACAATTACCATTTAATTTACTTTTCTCCCAACCAACTGATAAATTAACAAAATTATTGCTGATAAAAAAGTGGTACAACCGTAACCAGTCTCCCGTAATATCTAAACAACTTCTACTGGAGTTCCAAACTGCCAACACAATTATTAGCTCTGCTAAACATTTTACTTTGTGTTGAATTTCAAAACTAAGGTTTGTTGTTTTTATATTTCGGTTAAAATTGTGAAATTCGAAAACCATTTTAAAAAAGAAAATACCAGTTTTCCATGTATAAAAAACACTAAAAAAATGTGAAAATGACAAATGTAACTTTGAATTGTGATTGCTGACTTAACTCCTAATCTAGTATATTATATGAGAGGACAACCCAGTGGTTAACCAGCCTTCTATGCTATTACTAAACATTAGATATTTATATCAAATAGTTTTCACTTGTCTGAGTTGCTGGAATACTCGCGAAAGGCTATTTTCACTTTCGATTATATTTGAGACCTATAACATCGAGTAAAATTTTGATATCATTACTTCTTGATATTTAGCCTTGGGTTTTAAAATATCTTTGGTTGTATAAACACAATTCGAAACTAATGGACAGATTCTGCTGCATAACATGCCAAATTATGGCAAGGCTATGTTATGAAGAACTTTCCATACTAAATATTGATAAAAGCCATGTGGTTGCTTAGGTGAATGGATAGAAAACCTAAACTAGAAACCGTACAAATGGGTCTTTCTGACCCAGCTTCATAACATACAAGTGACGTAGCAGTTTATGTGTAAAACGCCTGAATGCACAGATATTGCATGACATTTTGACAGTATTCGGTATAATACAGTAGCATAATTTATGGAAGTAGGAGCAAAACATGGCCTTGCCATAACATTGGTATGTTGTGAAGCAGAATCGGCCCATAAAAAATAGTTTTGTAACTGCTATTTTGAGCGTTTTAAGAATAATAAATATAAACGATATCTAAACATTATAATATCTATTAAAATTAAGACAGTACACCTGCAAGTGTAAACATGATTCTTCCGAACACTTCGCCGAAAAAATCCCTTGCACCCATCACAGCTGGAAGCTCCGTAATGTTTACCAGTCGCGCGGTCTCCGCATATGGCGCAGTGGGTCAGCGCCCCCGAGATGACCCCGCCGCCAATGTTCTGCGTCGAGGCTCCCGAAACAGAACTGGGGGGCGAGTGGGAACTGATCGGCGAAGGATTCAGGGAACTCGAGCTGCCACTGCCACCTAATTGCTGGCTGGGCAAACCCGACATGGCACTGGTCGCAATCGACATGTGGATGTCGTTATCTGGAATAAAAGAAATTTAACTTAAGTCGGTTGATAAAAAGAATATTTATTTATTTATTCAGCAATAGCAGAAAGATTTATTTGAAGTACTTGCTAAAATTGTTTAAAGTCGATGATTAGAATAAAAATATATAACAATTTAGTAGCAACAATTTGTTTTCTATACCTCTGCTCGTCAATAAAGACATAAAGTATGAAAAGAATAAAAAAGTAAACATACAAGTATTCAATTTTATAACTGCATTTATGTAAAACAAAACCAATTATGTTCCTTTTCTTCTCCATCACTTATTGGACAGAAGACTCACATGAAAGATTCACATTGAAAACCTGTACGGGCTGGTTGGTTGCAAGTATAAACTATTAACAAGATGCTAATCTCAAATCCAACCTCGGTTAAAATTACTTATTCTTATAATTGATGTCAGAGAAAGCCTCTTACAGAAGCAGTTTAGAAAAGCATAATATTTTAACCCCCATGTATTTTTCTGTTGGTGCGTTATCACTTTTTTTCAAAAACAATTTGGAACCTTATTAGAGAGAGGACATACAAACTAGCCAGCTCTTTCAGTGCAATTGATGGTTTAGGTATTCTGCTTATGAATAAACTTCAACTCAATATCCGAAATTTGGATAACAAATCATTTTATTCTTTCTTAATCAACCGTTTTAAAGAATTTGCTTAATACGTTATTGTATAATTTTCGCAATTTGATTTCAATTACCATTTTCTTGCATAATTTCCTTATCCTTTATCTATGCAGCATCACCATTTGATCACCTGTGCAACCGTGTTTTTTTACTATATTATAAAATTACTCTACTTCAATGACTTTTTGTGACTAAGATTGATAAACAAGAGTCTAAAATAATATTAATTATTATTGGCTACGGTTTGCCAATAAATAAATAAATATAATGCATTGAAGCCAATTTGGACATATGGTATATTGCATTAAGATAGATGCACCTAGATATTGGCTATGTCGCGATTATACTCGTATGTATGCAATAAAAAAAGCACAAGATTTATAACCAACCACAAGGTAAGACTAAACGGACCAAATCCATTTTCCAGAGACTAGCTAATCGAGACGTCTTTATTTAACTTATGTAAGCTGTTTCTTAATCTCAAATCTAAAACGTCTACTTTTGGCTAATATTTTAACATGATATCACTATGTACTGACCACTAAAATATCATAGATACATAAAAATTCCACTTCACAAAACAACTGTCACCAGAAATAAGTCAATCTAAGGCACAAATTCAACAACATCTATAAAATTATAAAAGGAGAGAACGTGCGATATATTCATAAATAAAATGAATCGGCGTTATGCTGCTTATCAATGTACTTTATTTACAGAATTCTACGACATCATTCCATAATCTATTTGTCATTGAAACATGCAGTTCTGTTCAGTTGTTTATTTGAATTGCATGTTATAATAAGTGCACAATCTGTCAGCAAACTGGACATTATGATGACACTCAAAATGGTTATTGAAACAAGTAGGATTTCAAGAATTTTAATCATCCATATGGCCTTGGATCCTGCACTTGCAAGAGACAAGTAGTTCTAAGTCGGCGGTCACGAAGTCAAAAACGGATTATTAGTAAAAGATTGATAATCACGAAGAAAGATAGATAATAGATAATTTCAAACTTTTTGCCCAATTACGATTGATTGATGATTCAGAGAAAAACGCAAACCATTTTGAAAATTTGGGCATTTTTAATTCAAAAGTGTGTATTGGTGTAGTTTAAAAACAAGCTTAAATTACCGTTCTATGTATAATATAAACTAGTGGTGTGGAGCATCGTGCCTTAAGGCAAATTGCTGGAACTTCCCGTACCGTAATGACATTTTCGAGGAGTATTTAATATTTTCAAATAGATTATTATAAATACTGTAACATTGTCTAATATTTATAAAAATTATATAAACTGAATTGTAAAGTTAAAAATTTTTATTTAGAGTATATAAGTGATCTTTAAAACTTTATCCTGAATTAAAATTAAAATTTTAACTATTTTCGATATACATAAAAAGTTTTTTGAAAAACAAAATTGGGAAAAAATTTGAAATACTTTTTTTTCCAAAAGCAATTATTTTGTCAAAACAAGCAGAAAGTTTTTTAAATCATCCAAATAGGATGCTTAGTTCTCTCAAAAACTGTATTTTTTGCACATTTAGCTCGGTATCTCCACAATGGCTTGACTTGCCTTTGCCAGAAACTAATCACCACTTCTACCCGTCATTACGAATTGAATGTTTTTCGGATTATTCGAATCGGATGCTCCGTTCTCTCAAAAACTTGATTTCTATTTTCTGCACTCTTTGCTCGTATCTCCGTAACGGCTGGACCTGCCTTTGCAGGTCCAGGTTTAGAAAACAACACAACGAAAGGTCTATCTGTCTTTAATATATTTTTATTATTAGAATATTTCTAAAACTGACAATATATTCAATTTGATGCAAGAATGCCGAAGATGGGCTATTTTCACTAAAACTGTTCGTGGCAAGACCGAAGTTTATACAGTTTTTATGCATATGATACCCGTAGATAAAAATGATATTTTTTGAAAATCAAATTCCATTTATTTTATTTTGCTATATAATAAAATCCGTGGGTCATTCCACAAGTAATTAGCCTAAAATTGTACTTTTTTGAGATAATGAAGATGGACCATTTTACCCGCTGACCTTTATAAAAATCCGGTGTTTCATAATAATATATTTATTACGTAACTAATTGTTATACACACTCATTAGTGAACAACTCGGATTCTAATAGATATTATCGCATTTAGTAAAATATTTATTCTTGGTAAGAGTAAAAAACAATTATGGAATTCTTGAAGATATTACCATATTATAATTGCATTTATTCCTTGTGCTGAGATGAAAATGTTCTATACATCAATCGTAAGTTTCATAAAAGATTTAGAAGTTAAACCAAATACCACAGCATTTTTTATTAAAGTTTGAAAATTAGATAAGTAAAATAATTTTATTACACTCGAATTGTCAGACGAGTTTTGTAATTTAAGACGAAAAAGACAATATGAACTTAAAACGTACATATTTAATTACAAATGTAATTTTATTGACTGTGAAACCAAATATAATGAACATACCTGAAGGCAACTTGACAAGTATTCAGATATAACCTGAATGTATCTTAAGTTACAGTAATACGGTATAAAATACATGTATCATGTAAGCGATAATTTAGTATTACTCTTCTACTATACTGATGATTTTTATATTGATGCAAAAATGCCTGGTATGGGGCTATTTAATTCGGAAGCATTGCTATCTATATAATAGTTCTTAGTAAAAACCGATGTCACTACAACTTTACATTAGGCAGTCCAACGTGGGTATGGAACTTGGAACCTTTGAACTTGGAAGCCTATAGTTCTAACCACTAGGCCACGGGGTCTGCCTATTATGTTAGATAAAAATAGAATCATTTTTGTAGAATTCGTTATCGTTAATAAATTTGAAGATAACATGGAAAACATTGAGGGCTGACTTGGATGTATTTCAAGTAACTGCAACTAGTGGTGCATGGCATCGTGCCTTAAAGCAAATTGCAGGAACTTCCCGTTCCAAAAATTAAAAATTTTAAAAAAGATTCAATTTTCTTCTAGAACTCTGAGAAAAATCAATTTTTGATATTTCTGAAATTTTCGTAAAATTAGATTTTTTTTATATATTGAATTATTTTGGAAACTTTTTTCAAGCTGTGTAGAAACAAAATATCAAAGCGCGTGGGCGCCGCGTTGCAGTATAACGTTTAAACATTGGTACGAAACCCATAGAAATGTAAAAAATTGTTATTATTAAATTATCTATAAAATATGTGATAATTTGATGTGCATATGTCTAATGATCATTTTTGTCCGCCAAATGACATTTTTCCCCCTTTTTTATTGGATCTTCGAAAACGCTAGACCTGCCTTCCGAAAAATTTCATCAGTTCTTCATTTCAATACAAATAAAATGCTTTTTGAATCATTCAAATCAAAAGCTTCGTTCTCTCAAAAATCAATTACCATTTTTGGCCCTTTTTGCCCCATATCCTCGAAACGGCTAGACCTGCTTTCGCCAAAAACTAGTCAGCACGTCTCCTTATCAATACGAATCGAATGATTTTTTAATTATTCAAATCGGTTGACCAGTATTCGCATAATCGTCGACAAACATTTGTATCCGCGCACACACATACACGGTATACCAAAATGTTCAGAAGACCTTAAAACGTAAAGATATGCAAAAAAAAAAAAATTTCGATTTTTTTCCGATTACTATACTTACCCTACGGGAAGTTAAAAATATTGCTTATTAAGTACAAAATTGAGCAAAGTATTTCATAGAATTTCATTTCATAGCTATATACAAAAATTAAAACAGAACTAATTCAGATAAAACAAATAATTCAAACTATTCAGATGAGTTTTGAGGAAAAAAATTAAGTTGTCGTAAGTCGTCTTTCTCTCCCTAAAACTGGCCCAACATTTTTGAACAACTTAAGCCACGATACCATGCACCACTAGTTACAATTTTTGTTTGCCTGTCTGTTCCGACAAGTCTTTCAAATGACTAAACCGATTTTGAAGGAACTTGAGTTTTGTTGAATTATTTTTTCTAAATGAATATTTTAAAGTTTACAATAAAAATTTTATTCATTGTAATTTTAAGCAGTGTTTATAACAGTTAATTTGTTTCGGTTGTTGGTTAATAATACTTAACATCACCCGTTATTGGATTTCTACTTATTATCGTATTTTTTTCTATTTTTTTCGGACTGGTGAGGCCTCTTCTTGTTCAGTTTCGCCATTTTCGCCATATTGGTTTTGTTCTTTTTGGCCTAAAAGTGCGGCCACTTGATTCGATTTGTATTGACGGCTTATCAAATCACGGCGTCATATAAACTGTCTCCAAATTTATGTATTTCTTCCGGTTTAGATAATCCTGTTGGTTGAA